ACTATCATGATTTCAATTATCACTCTATACAGAGAACTCCCAAGTTTATATGTCCAGTTGTAAACTCTCCTTAGAAACCAGGCCCCATTTCTGTGGAATGGGCATACCACACGCCACATACCAATGGGCATTGGATGTTCCATTTATGCCTGAAATTCAACATACACAAAATTATACTCATTCTCTCCACCTCAAAAAAAGGCCCTTTTCCTAACTTCCCAATTTTTACTGATGCTTCAATTCTCCCTTTCTTCAAGTTACCAAGAAAGTCATTAGTGACTATTACCTCTTTCTCTCCCCTCAAATGAGATCAATTGTCAAATCCTGTTGATTTTGCCTCTGTTATATTATTTCTTGCATCTGGCACCATCCTTACATGGACCTTCCTCATCTTTTGTCTAGTCTTATGTAATAGTCTATAAATAGGCAGTAAATAGGTAGTTTGCCTGCCTCTAAATCTCTATGTTTTCCTATTGATCCTTCACACCACTGACAAAGTAATATTCCTAATGCTCAAACCTGATCACATCTCCTCTTGTGCTCATTGCCTCAAATATCCAAATAGATCTATGATCTTACTGATGTAGAAGTTCCCTTCAATCATGCTGATTGCCTATATCATTATCATCCTGTTCGACTCTTCTCCTTGTCTTCCCACAAATTTGCCCCAGGGATCCATCAAACATGCTGGGGACCTTCCTCCATTGCTCCTGACATTTCATAGAGATCACTGAGGAGCTGATGCCATCAGATTTATATCACCACATCACCAGACCATTAACCAGACATTTCCCTTAAGACATCTTTATTCCAGGTCTGGTTTTTTTTAAGGTAATTTCATAATCTTCCATTGTTAATCTTTGTAAGATTTTTACAAATGTGTTCATATTCTAAACCAATATTAACAGAAACTGGCTCTCTCTTTTGCTTGGTAATTATCAAGTGTTTGCTGACTAATGTATTTTTAGGTTCATTTTGTGTCCTTGTTTTGGCAATTGATTTACATTGCTTAAACTAATTTTTTTCTTTTAAATAGTATTTTATTTTTTCCAATTACATGTAAAGACAATTTTTGACATTCATTTTTTAATAAAACTTTGAGTTGCAAATCTTCTCCCTCCCTCCTTTCCCTTCTCCCTAATATGGTAAGTACATTGCTTAAATTTCTATATGAAATGATCTGTGACTCTGTGCTTCTTGAGCCCAGCAACCATTTTTTCATTTTTCAACAACTAGTTTGAATAGGTCAAGGTTGCATTGTTTTAATTGCATGCCATATCCTTTTCTCATTTTTATTCTTTCATGTAGCTTTGTTCTAACTTTGATCTTTTCTCTAACAAGTTGGTAGTCCTACTGTGCACACAAAGATGATTCAGGAAAGATATCACACAAGTGATGAGTCATTTCCCATCTTTTAAGATATAATCAGTTTTATTATTTTGTGATGTTTCTTGGTGCTCAATGCAATCAGAGCCCAGCGATTTTTTCACCCGAAGACATTTAGCTGCAGTTTCTTTCTGTTTGTTTATAGTGAGAATACCAACACTGATATGATTTAGTAGCACAGCCACTGAATGGTCACTGGATAAGGCTCTCACAATTTAGAGAATAAATAGCTAAGTCAAAGTTTATACATGGTTTAAATAGGATGTGCCTTTTAGAACCTCTGCCCCTTTTCCCCTAAGCCTGCCCTGTCATCGAAAAAGTAGAAGGGAGCCAGACAGGACTGAGGGACACTTTATGACTTTGTTTAATATCATGGGTTGCCATGGTCAAAAAATTCATCAACAAGTAGCTAGCCTAACGACCATGCTTAACTAGGCTGGTCCTCAGAAAAGAGACTCAGACTGTTACCTAAATTATATTCAAAGCTTGTCTAGTCTACTGATGGCACCTACCAGAGCCTTTAAGAGCCCAGGATCATCCACATTTTACTTGGAAGTATAAGGGCAAGACTTTGTAGAGAATCTTCACTTCCTAAACAAGTACTAATTCCTCACCCTGGCATTCAAAGACCTCCATAATCAAACTTCAGTCTCCTCTATCTAATCTTATTTTGTCCTATTCCCCTTTACACACTCTTACATTTCAATCTTACTGGACAATTTGCCATTCTTTCATCTCATTCTGTCCTTTTCTTTCTCCATGCATTTACATATGCCATCCTACTTGCATGGAACAGACTCCCCCTGCTTCTCTTCCTGCTGAAATTCTACTTTTTCTTCAAGGTCCACCTCAGATACCACCTCCCCCATGAAGTCTTTCCTGATTCTCTCAGCTGAGTCACCCTTCCCTTCAAATCTCTCATTCTACTTTGAGCTTTCCTATGTACTTAATTATATTTAGTTATATACATATATATGTATGTGTGTGCATATGTACCTTTCATCTCCTATACTACATAATTAGCTCCTTCAGATAAGGGACCAAGTCATCTTTGTTTCCCCAGTGCTTTGCATATACACTTTCCCCCAACAAATAGCATGTCATTTTGCAACATCATATACCATAACTAAATCCCACCTTACAATTTCTATGCCATGACAACATGGCGGTTATTCTAGTCACTAGACAAGCAACTCAACATTCTTGACTGTTCCTCTGCCAGCTTCAAATAATGCAGTCTAGTTAGGGAATGTTGGGGAAGCCCAAAAGGATTAACTAACTTGTCATAAAGAACTTAGAAATTGGTTGATTGGTGGTGTGATCTCTGAATACTAACAGGTCCCTCCCTGCACACACTATCAGCAGCCACAAACTAAAGAACAGGACTGGTATAGGTGAAATGGGAGAAAGATGGTCATCATACATTGCTCTACTAGTCCAGATGGTCAGACAGTAATCATGTTTTCTTTCTCAGTAGTATCTTCAAATGTGTGTGATTCAGACAAATACATTTTAGTGATGTACTGATGAAGTTTTTTTTAGAAAAACAAAAGCCAGTAGTACTTATATGGAATTTAAATTCAATAAACATTTATCAAATGACCAACAGTGTGGTGTCAACATGATATGAACCTTCAGACAAGTAGGAGGAGATTTTTTTTTTCGGTGAGGCAATTGGGGTTAAGTGACTTGTCCAGAGTAACACAACTAGTGAGTGTTATGTGTTTGAGATCAAATTTGAACTCAGGTCCTCCTCACTCCAGGGCTGGTGCTCTATCCATTGTACCACCTAGCTGCCCCTGAGCAGGAGATTTTGAGGAACACAGGTGGGCTAGAACTTAGAGTATGTCATATGAAGCAATACCGTGAGATAAGGCTGGACATTTAGATGGGAGCTAGGTTGTGGAGGGCTTGAATTCCAGGACACCAAATTTGATATGGGTTTTTTTTTTTTTTTAACACTGTTGTGTGAGGAACCATCGAAACTTTTTTTTAAATTAACATTCATTTTTAAAAATTTTCGGTTCCAAATTTATTTCCTCACTTCCACCTCTTCCCAACCCATTGAGAAAACAAGCAATATGACACCCATTAAGAATGGTTTTGAAGTGGTTAATCTAGAGGCAGGAATACCAATTCAGAAGCTTTGGCAAGAAATAATATGTCTTGAGCTAAGGTGGTGGCTGTGGGAGTGCAAAGGAGGAGAAAAATGAAAGAGATATATTGTGGAGATAAACTCAACAGGACTTGGTAAATGATGGGATGTTTTACTTATGAGTGGTTGATTATCATAAAATGGTAAAACAGTATTGTTAGTAATGATGTCACAGAATGTGTAAAATTTCTAAACTCTGAAGCTACTTTTCCTGAAGCCCAGCTGTGCTTGGATAGCAGGTGTAAAGAAGTAACAAGATTCATGCCAGGATACCTAAGCAACTGCTCTTGGCAAGCTGAAGCTGGGTGACTGCAGGTACAAGTGTACAGGACAAACACTAAACATATACACAAGCACTTCAGACAATAAGTCATAGCTCTGATGTTTTGGGAAACCATAGAAGCAAAGAGTTCAACCTGGTGCATACAGCAACCTGAAAAGGAAACTGCTGGAGGAACAGCCCTAGCTCATTCATTCATTCATTCTACAAACATTTATTGAGTGCCTCCTATGTGTGAAACAATGTGAAGAATCAGAAAACCCAGAAAATCAACAGGCTCTGCAAACAGCAACTCCAGTCACACACCAAAGGACGCTTCATATAAACAAATCACCGCTGATTCGCCACCAGTTTGTTTTTTTATTTTCATTTAATTTTTTTAAAACTCTTAACAAATACCAAATAAAATGCGCATTTCCATATATTGCGGGACACGAGGGCACAGTATAAGAAACTGAGAATGTAAAGCTTGCTTGTCTTTTAAAGCCTGTAATCAGTTCAACATGTAACTTTCAAGGGGGTCCAGCTTGCCTGTGAGTGCTTCTGGCCTTCCTTCTGTTCTCATCTTTTGTGGAGGGAGACCCTCTATCTCTAGGCTAAGTATTGGCTTCCGTGCGAAGAAGGGAATTAATCATTCCGTGACCACGGGAGCTCACGGGCATCCCGGCGGGATGCAGTCTGTAATATGCACAGGAGTTGGGGGTAGGCTAGTGGACAATCGGTAGAAAATCACGGGAGAACTCGGGGGTGCTCCCGTTAGGCTTATTAGCGCTACAGAAGGACCGTGGAATCGAGGCAACAGAGCAGCTTGGCCCTGGTCCCGGCAGCCCCAGGTTTTTCCTCCAGGCTTCCAGCTTAACCCCTGCTGTGCCGCTCGGACACCGAGGCTGCTGCCGAGGGTGCCGGCTGCTCAGCCCTGCGCCATAACTTGGGGGCGTTTGGCAGCGAGGAGTCGGGGCCGGGCGGGTTGTCGCTTGCACAGAGGGGCGGGGTGGGCAAAGACCCTCTCCCTGGATCCTTGCTTCGACCCTCCCCCGCTTCGCCTTGGTCGTGGGGAGCCAATCAGGGCTCGTTGGCGCGGAGAGAGGTTGCCTTTTCCGGGGTCTCTGCAGGAGGACTTTTTGGCGGCACGAGGCAGGGTGCGTGCGTGACTGAGCCCTCGGGGACGCCATCCCTCGACCGCCTGGGGGCGGGGGGTGCAAAGCACCTTCCCGGCGTCCCCGGCTGCCGCCGCCTCTGTCAGCCTGGGTGTGTTGGGGGGGGGGGGGGGGGGAGCAGCCGAGGCACCAAAGTAGGAGCGGCCCCGGGGCGCGCTCTCTGGCTGGCCCCGGCCGCCGCCGCCGCCGCCGCCGCGCGGGTCCAAAGATGGTCAGAGGGGCGGGAGGAGCCGCCGCATTCGCCTCAGCGTCCGCGTCTCCTTAGTCCTTAGGGCCCCTAGCCCCCGGCCTCCGGGGGGGCGCTCGCGGTAAGTGGGGGGGCTGCTCGGGGGCAGCCCGCGACGCCCCCTCGGAGGGGAGAACGAGCCTTAGGCTAGCCCGCCGCCCCGCGGGAGGAAGAGAGGCGGACAATGGCCCGGGCCTCGCGGGCCGCCCGCCGGGCTGAACCCGCGCCTGCTTCTGCACCTGCTTGGGAGCCGGGAGGCGAGGGGGGCCACTCTAGGCGCTCGAGGACCCGGCGCCCCGGGACGCCCCGAAGCGGGGGCGCGAGCGCAGAGGGGGGTGAGGGGGGAGCACAGCTGGGCTGCCTCAGTTTCCGCGTCCCGGAAGGGGGGCTGTAAGTCCACAGCTGGGGGGGGCGGGTAAGGGGGGTAGGGCCCGAGGCCGGGCTGAGCTGCCTCCTTCCACATCCAGAAAGGGAGCTGTAATTTCGCGGCGGGGGTGGAGGGAGTGTGACCCGGATCGGGGCTGGGCTGCCTCAGTTTCCACTACCCAGAAGGGGAATTGTAACTGCACAGCGGGGGGCCGGTGACGTAGACGAGCCCGGCTTGCAGAGGTCTGTGGGGGGTTTGTACGCACGTTTTCTTTCTTCCTTTTTTTTTTTAAAGGCTGCAAACCCTCCTTCTACCCCCACCCCCCACCCCCTTTGTGAGGCTGCCCTTTGACCGGCGCCTTCCCCGGGTGATCGAATTTTAAAAGGAATCCCGGAGCTGGTGGAAATGGCTGGAGGAACAACTGAGCTCGCGCTTGGAGAGCAGCGACCGAGGCGGCTCCCCCTCCCCCAGGTTTCTCCGGGGGCGCCCCCCCTAAGGGCCCCCGCCCCCCCCCCCCCACTAATGCGAGGTGTTCGGGCAGCGCCTTCTTTGTTGAGACAGCTGTCTAGAAGGCAGTTTGTATGGATATGTGTGTAGGTGTGTTTGCCTTTTTGGAGGGGAAAGTGGCAAATTTCACATCCTTGCATCCAGGTTCGCGTAGTACTGCTGAATGTTGTGCCTGTTTACAAATTGGCCACCATATTCCGTTACCTTTACAGAACAATATACATTCTGAATTTGTTCTGGGTGCCTTTAGTTGTTTTAGCATAATTACTGTAATTTGTTGAGATGAGGCCTCTGGACTACAGTCAGCCTTAATCATTATAATGATTAGAATATACAGCATTTATAATTTAAGGTTATCTGTAGAATTTTAAATGAATATGTTTAATTTTTTTTTTGCAGCAATGGCACTTAAAGGGCAAGAAGACTATGTCTATCTTTTCAAAGATCCTTCTCATCCTTTGGATTTCTTAGAAGCATTCAGAACATTCTATCTTGATGGATTATTTACTGATATAACACTTCAGTGTCCTTCAGGTGGTATCTTCCATTGTCATAAAGCTGTTTTAGCTGCCTGCAGCAATTATTTTAAAGCAATGTTCACAGCTGACATGAAAGAAAAGTTTAAAAACAAAATAAAACTTCCTGGGATCCACCATGAAGTTCTAGAAGGTCTTATAAATTATGCATACACTTCACAAATCAGAATAACCCAAAGAAATGTTCAAAGCCTCCTTGAAGCAGCAGACTTACTACAATTTTTTCCTGTAAAGAAAGCTTGTGAGCAGTTTTTGGTAAGGCACCTTGATGTTGATAATTGCATAGGAATGCATTCCTTTGCAGAATTTCATGTGTGTCCAGAATTAGAGAAGGAATCCAGAAGGATGCTTTTATCAAGGTTCAAGGAAGTATGGCAACAAGAAGAATTTCTTGAAATCAGCAGTGAAAAATTATTCTTTATTTTGTCCAGAAAGAATCTAAGTGTTTGGAAAGAAGAAACTGTCATAGAACCAGTTATTAAATGGACAGCACATGATGTAGAAAATCGAATCGAAGGCATTTATGATCTCCTAAGCTATGTAGAAATAGATATAGATCAGATGTACTTGAAGACTGCTTTGAGTCTTCAGAGAAGACACCTACTAACTGAAAACAAGTTGAGAGCCTTAATATATAATGCTCTAAGTCCTATACATAAGGAAGTTTCCCAGAGGTCTACAGCTACTATGTATGTAATTGGAGGGTATTATTGGCATCCTTTGTCAGAAGTTCACATATGGGATCCTTTAATAAATGTTTGGATTCAGGGAGCAGAAATACCAGATTATACCAGAGAAAGCTATGGTGTTACAAGTTTGGGACCCAACATTTATGTTACAGGTGGTTATAGGACAGATAACATAGAAGCCCTTGACACTGTCTGGATCTATAATAGTGAAACTGATGAATGGACTGAAGGCCCTCCCATGCTCAATGCAAGATATTATCACTGTGCAGTTACCTTAAGTGGTTGTGTCTATGCGTTGGGGGGTTACAGAAAAGGAGCTCCAGCAGAAGAAGCAGAGTTCTATGATCCTTTAAAAAAGAAATGGATCCCTATTGCAAATATGATTAAAGGTATGTACAGATTTTGGATGTTATGTATTTTGTGGCCTTTTGAACTTGAACCAGCCTTCCTGTTCTTTCAGTGAAAGTGCAAGGACCAAGATAACTATCTCAAGTATCCTGTTACTGAGGTTGGCATCACTCTTTTATCTAAGAAGTAAAGTAGAATACACAAATAATGTATCATAGAATGCCCCAAATAATATTTTTATGATTCCAATGCTAAATAGAGAAAACAAGTGCTATCTTACGTCTTTTTTGAATAGGAAAGCCATCACTGACATTTTTTAGCCAGGCTTTGCTTCCTAATGATTTTTAAAGTTGGTGGACAAAATTAGAAATGTAAATGGTTTTATTTAATTGTATATTATTTAATATAAATACTGTTTAATATTTATTTTAACTTTTTCTTGTTCTTAAATGACTTTCTCTTTAAATTTTTCCCTTCTTTACTACTATACCAGATCAGTTTCCTTTAAATTGAAAACTGGTGGTCTTTTTTATTTCTAAATGCATTATGGGTTTTTTCTCCATCCTTCCTCAAAATTATGTCTTTTTTGTTTTACCATGATATGGTCTAGTTATTTGGAGTCCTACAAGTATAACAAACATTTTGTCAGTAGAACTTTTCTTATTTTTGTTTTGGTGATGTCTCATTTATGATAATCACTGTAAAGTCTTGGAAGCAAATTTAGTATTCAATTTTAGGAATAGGGGAGGGATGGGCAAATACATTCTTGCTATATCAACGGATGTATAATAAAATGCTTGATTTTTCTTTCCTTTTATTCATAAAAATATAACATTTAATTTTAAAATTGGTGCTATGGTACTTCACCAGAACAACTTTCAAGTTGTATGGACACAGTGCAAATATTTCCAAATTTGCATTATTTCATCTCAGGTATTTCCCCTCTTGCACGTTATTGTTCTTTCTAAGGAGCTAAAGAGAGTGTGGAAATCTGTCCAGTTGTGGCCCATTACAATCAGCCAAGAGGCTTGATTTATGTCTGGAAATTTCTTTATGAAAGATCAGGTTGACACAAATCTTTTGATAAAGTGGTTTATAGGACAGAAATGCCCCCCCCCACATTCAGAGACCGACACTCATACTCAAATATACGAGTAAATTCCTTCTCAAAATATTTGTTACTCTCTAACATGGCTTAGGAGTACAGTAATGTTTTATAATATGGCAGAGGCTAAGTTGGTTACAGCAAGGAGAGGGAGCAGGCTAAAAAAATCCACGTCCTTTTTGGGTGCCTTACAGGCTTAAGTTAGCTATTTCCATCTCCTATCACCTGTAGAAGATGCAAGGGAATCTGAAATGTCATTTTTGGGAGATATTAGAAATCTGGAGCATTTTTCTGCTTATTTGTGTTTTTTTGTGATTTCAGAATGTGATTTTGTAACTTGGCATGTATTTCTGATTAGGTAGTATGTTTTATTGTCAGCTTTCTAGCTTATTTTTTCCCCACTTAGTAGTATTTTATTTTTTCCAATTACATGTAAAGATAATTTTCAACATACACTTTTATAAGATTTTGAGTTCCAAATTTTTTCTCCCTCCCTCCCCACACTCCTCCCCAAGATGGCATGTAATTTGATAAGGCTGTACAACATACAATCATATTAAACATGTTTCCACATTAATCATATTGGGAAAGAAGAATCAGAACAAAAGGGAGAAAACACAGTTCTAGCTTATTTTAAAAATTCACTTGATTCTTTATTCACCATAAAAGAAAATGCTGAAATAATGTGTTGATGTTGTGTAAGGACTCCGAGCCTTTCCAAAGCTTCCCCAACAGTTGACTGATAACTTTCATTCCTTTTATCCTGGCTAAAATTGAAATACTTCATGAATAGTTAGACTTTAATCTGTTATTTGTTATTCATACCTTTGCCTGGTCTCAGCCCTGAGGGGTTCACATGCTGTATTTTCTGCTTCTTACTTTGCTCTCAGGAAGGTGAAATATTTTCTGTAATTTGTTTTATTTGCTAAGTCTCATGTGTTCTATTAAAAGTTTTTTCTAGGTAGTATATGTGTCAAGAAGCCAGGACTAAGCAATGTATCCTTAACTGTTATGAAAACGAATGACTCCCTAAAACATTTTTGATCCTTCATGAAGGTCTTATTTGTAGGTCCTTTATTTCACAATAGAAATTAATTAATAGGTTAAACCAATATTCTCACCTAAACTAAACTCATTTTATTCCCCCAAGCCATCTTTTCCTCCTCTTAATTTCCCTATTTTTGTTAGGAAACCTGGAAGTTACCTTCCTCATCATCCTCCCGAATCTAATTCCAAAGTGTCTTTTTAATAAAAATAGTAATTCACATTAACCCATTCTTTTACGGTTTACAGATAGCTTTTCTTACAATAAGCCTGGGAAGTAGGGATTAAAGTATCATCCCTGTTTTACAAATACAAAAACTAAGGTTCCAAGAAGTTAAGTCACTTGCCCTTTCCTTTCCATTGTTCTCTCCCCAGTTGGAGTCTTCTTTAGCCTACTGCAGTAGTCCAGAAGGTAAATAATTGATATTTGTCTCCAGTCTCTCTCCACTTCAATCCATCTTGCACATTAATAATAATTAATAATATACCACATAATATATATTAACAATAATATAGAATAATAATGATAGTTAACATATAGTGCCATGTACTTTGCTAAGTACTTTACAATTATTATCTCATTTTGTCCTCACAACAACCCTGCGAGGTAGGTGTGGTTATTATCTCCATTTTACAGATAAGGAAACTGAGGCAAACAGGTTAAGGGACTTGCCAAAAGTCACAGAGCAAGTAAGTGTCTGAAGCGAAACAGGCGTGGTGCTCTCCACTGTACCATGTTGCAGCCCACCCTCTGATTAACTTTTCTAAAACAGGGCACTGAACATGTCACCTCACTGCCCAGAAACTTCCTTCAAATCTGGCCCCAACCTACCTTTTCAGCCATTTTTCTCATTTTTCCCTATGCTCCATCTAAACAGTATCAACATTTCCCAAATGCGTCTTGCTTTCCTACTTCACCTTTATTCAGTCTTTTTTTTTTTTACTGAAATACCCTCACCTATATCTGTAATTGTAAAAATCCTGTCCATTTTTTAAGCCCTAACTCAAATACTGCTTCGTACGTGAAGTCTTACCTGATTTTCTAGAATCTCTTACCAGATTCTCTTTTTGGCAGTATAGTGAAACTTCTGACAGACCCCTTCTCAGAATTCTGTTTTTAAATGCATAAAACAAATAAAATTAAAAAGGAAACCAGCAAGATATTTTTTTTAAAGTTCAGGGACTCCAGATTAAGAACTACTCTGAAAGAGATTTCTCCTTCCTTTGAACTTATAGGAACCTTCACTTTTTTAACCTACTTTATGGCATTTATTACAGTTGCCTTATGCTATCTGTCTTTTGTTACCATTAGGTTGTTAGTTTCGTGAAGCCAGAGACCATATCTTATTTACCACTATAGCCTCCCCAACACTTAGTCTTGTGTCTTATATATAGTAGGTATTAGATCAATTTGATGAATGGTGAGATAAAAAGATATGATTTTTAACATACAGGTGTGGGAAATGCTACTGCCTGTGTCTTACGGGAAATCATCTATGTCATTGGAGGCCACTGTGGTTACAGGGGAAGCTGTACTTATGATAAAGTCCAGAGTTACAACTCAGACATCAATGAATGGAGTCTGATCACCTCTAGTCCGCATCCAGGTAAATAGAAACCCTTGCCTAATTTGTGCTCTCCCTCATAAAATATGTCTGTGTAACAATAGATTAGTTTAATAATAAATTAAGACTCATGTAAGATTAAAAAAAAGTTTCTTAAAAAAAGAAAAAAAATGTTTCTTTGTATGGTGGATTTAACGTACATGGTGCCATGCCCATTTTTTTTAATTGGACCTGTGATTTCATTGGTATAGAACCTTCTTCCACCCAGATGGATTGGCATCTGCTCTACAACTCACAGTCTTAGAGAGTTGCCTGGGGCACCTAGAGTTAAGGTGACTGGCCTGCGGTCATATGGCTATTAGATATCAGAGGTGAGATTTGAACCAGGTCTTCTTAACTCCGAGGTGGGCTCTCTAATTACTACCCAGTGTTGCCTCAGATACCTTGCCTTACACGTTTTAGGTTTTTAATAAATATTGAATTGACTTGAGCGGAATTCAGGGGATCAAAATATCCTTCAAACTAGAATCTAAATTACTTGACAAATACTCCCAGTTATATTTTTAAATAGGTTCTTGTTGTTCACTCGTGACCGACTTTTGGGCCATACTGTCTGTGAGATTTTCTTGGCAAAGATACTGGAGTGGTTTGCCATTTCCTTCTCCGGTAGATTAAGGCAAACAGAGGTTAAGTGACTTGTCGAGGGTTACATAGCTAGTAAGTACCTTAGGCCAGATTTGAACTCAGGTCTTCCTGGCTCCAGGCTTAGTGCTTTATCCACTGAGTCATCTAACTGTCCCCTATTAATGGTTTATACTACCACAAAAATACACATTCCATTTCACTGTGACTAAAACACATGTAATGGTTTTGTTTTTCCTTCATTCTTAGGTTCTTTTTCTGCTACCTATATTTTAGTTTATATATTAAATCTGTGCTTCTAAAACCTTGATTTTTATTGGCACATTCAAAAGAAGCAGTTTATTTGTCAACTCTTTTGTTTAAGTGCAGCTTGAGGTCATTACTTCATTTTTAAAATGTACGCTTTCTGATAAAAACTGTATACCTGATTTGTTAATCACATTTAGTGGTTCAGCAGATATTTAGTAAGCATTATTGCAGTGTTTCATAGATTGCTGTAAGGTACTTCATAGACATAAAGAACATATTCTCTGCTTGTGAGGAGTAGGCTGCCTTCCATGCTCACTTTTGTACTTTAACTGATGCCTTTGTCAGCATCTCAGGGGAAATTACAAACTATAGCATGATGACAATTGTACCATGTGTTTAATTTTTCTGTTATAGAAAAGCAATATTACTTGGCGTTGCTTTTAGCCATTTGTTATTTGGCAACAGGTTTCTATATTCTATATTCTATCTAGAAAAGATATTTGAAATTCACAAACTTATACCAGCTACGGTTATTATAGATTAATACCTTTCTGCTGATCTGCTTACAAATTGTGTTTTAAGTACCGTTACTTGAGATTTTATTTTCTGAAAAAAGGTTTTTATTTGGGTCCCCCTGCCCCTCATCTCATATTGTAGAAAATACATACTGGACAGAGTTAACTCTACTTTTCGTCTTTTTTGTGTATAGTGAATTCACACAATGTTACTTTTCCGCCCTTTATTTCAAATCAGAAAAATATAATAACCAGTATTATCCCCAACTATACAAATGCTAATAATGGTCATAAATGTTGATATAGAAAAAGAAAATTATTAAGAAAATATTACTAGTAGACACATTTTGCCTTTGAAGGAATAATAATAACCTAGGTAGATATTGTTTTTCACCATGTCCAAGGCTTCTGCATACGTTGTCTTGGAAGCCAGGTGGTACGTTAGATAGAGTGCTGTACTTGGAGTCAGGAAGATCTGCACTCCAATCCAGCCTCAGACACTTATAGCTTTGTGACCCTGGGCAAGTAACTTAGCTACTGTCTGCCTCAGTTTCCTCATCTATAAAATGGGATGACAATAGCACCTAGCTCTCAGGGTTGTAACTGGATAAAATGGTGTTTATAAAGTGTTTTGTAAACCTTAAAGTGCTACATAAATTTTAACTATTATCATCATCATCTAATCCGAACCTTACAACAACCTTGTGAGGTATACAGTTCTAAGTATTACTATCCCTATTTTATAAATGAGGAAACTGAGGTTCAGAGGGATTAAATGACTTGTACAGAGTCACACAGCTAGTAAGTAAAGAGAATGGGATTCTAATCCTTGCTTTTCTATATCAAATGATTGAAAATGTGTCTTGGGTACCCCAGCTACCCATTTGCCAGGCAGCATTGGCAGCATACAATTTCAAGAACCAGTGATAAAGTGGAAGCAAAAAATGTGTCAGCAGTCAACAGTTAAGCTTAGCCTAATCCCTTAACCTTCTTAGGAGAGGAATAGCACTGTCATCTCTGTTGCTTTTAGCCACCATTCCTCCATGGCCAGTGTGACACAGTTGGCTCCTTGTACCCCACATGTTGATAGATTAGGTATTACCTCTAGTCAGCTCACTTACATCTTAGAAACTCAGCTTCATAATATAAACAAAAAAGACCAGTTAAAAGAATAAAACTCAGTATAACAATGAAATATAAACTATATTCACATTTTTTAAAAGAAGAAATATGCACAACTCATTTATTCTATGTCCCCTTAGGATCCCTTTTCCATTTGTTATTTTCATATGGTGGTTGTTTCATATACTGTTTTGTCTTGGTTTCTTCATTTAGAATTATTTCATGTCTTTTTGTGTTCTTTATATCTCTCATAGTTGTAGTTTTAAAGACACAATAATATTACACTGATATATCATAATCTTTCTGCTTTTTCACAACCATTGGATAAGCTTTATTTTAGGTAAGTCACAATCTCTCTGGGCCTGAGACTTCTCATCTGTAAAATTAGGATATTGGGCTACATGTTAACTTTCAGTTCAGATATACTAGTTCAGTGTATGTTTAGCACTGGCAAACATTTTTGTGATCTCACCTTTCTTTGTTTCATGAATTTCTGTACCATTTTTCCAACTTGTATAGCAATCATCATACATTACCTTAGTTTGTGGTTGTTTTTGTATATCTCTAATTAGAAACTATTGAAGGATGGGAGAGCTGCTAATTCATCTTTATATACTGTGCCTACTACACTGCATTTAAATAATAGGCACCTAGATAAGTATTTGTTGAATGTGTAAAAGAGAAGTTCTTTTTTGGTCTACACCTGGTCTACACCTACAAGTGTGGAAATTTCTTCCCCAACAGGGATCTGTAATTTAGAGTCTTAGACGGTTGTTAGGAATGTTTAGAAGCTAAATAACTTGCTCATATTCACTCAGCTACTAGGTATCTGAGGTAGGATCTTCAGCCAGGTCTTTCTGATTCCCAGGTTAGCTCTTAATATACAATGCCATGCTCTCTCTATGAAAATGTAAATATTCTAATTTAAAATATTTAATTTCCCATGAAAATTACCAGTTTATAAGAAATAAATATAAACCAGTGAAAATGGATTTTGTGTTTCCTTTTCTTCTGTTATTACTTCATGTTGCCTTTAGTTTTTAAAACTCAAAGAAAATTTAAATTTATTTAATTTTAATTTATTTTAAAAGGTAAACTCTATAGAAAGAGTGGACTCTCTGACCTCTCTGTTATTGACTTTATTGTGGTTGGTGGTGGTGGTGGTGGTAGTGGTGGTGGTGGTGGAGGATAGGGAACAAGAATCCTTTCTTAAGTGGGGTGCCAAGTCTCCATTTATTTGCTCCTAGGTTTCCTGTGCTTATAACATAACTCTCCTGCCTCCAAATCTTTGTGGGGTTAGAGCCTTCATATCTAGCCAGAGTCAATGATTGAAATGAAAGTATGTTATAGATATGTTAATATTTGTCTGAATAAGAGAATAAGACCTTTAAAGTGCATTCATTGCTTGTGGGGGAGATAGCATGATACAGTAGAAAGAGCATTAGATACCAGATCAGAAATCTGGACTCTAATCCTGTCTTTTCCACTCAAATTTTCTTTATGATCTTGGGCAAATCACTGTTAATTTTGATGATCCTTAGTCTCCTCATTAGTAAAATGAGAGGGTTAGACTAAATGGCCCTCTAAAACTCCTTCCAGCCCTGATCTATGAATCTGTGATCCTTATTGCCACCCAGAAGAGTCTATGATCCTTATTACCACACAGCTAGGCTATTGCTATGCCAGCTTCCAAGTTTATTATAAGTTAAAGCTGGAAATTATCTACAGAGGTCATCTAGCCCCCATATTTGCTTTATGAAGAGGCAGTGGTTATAACATATCCTAAAAATGAATGCCAACTCAAAATATGACTATGGGGAAATTCAGTGAAGGGGGTTCTGCATATACAGGTTCTCTTTGTTACTCTGAAGATTCAGTTTAAGTATAATATTTGTGGACTATGGAAGCAACTCTTGGAGAGGTAGAATGGAGGTGAAGCCCATAGCACTATCAGGTGCTATAATTTGGAACAAGTTTCAACCATATTTTGAAGTGATATATACTAGCCTAGGTGGCGCCATAGTGCTGGGCCTTTAGTCAGGAAGACTCATCTTCCTGAGCTCAAACGTGGCCTCTGACATTTATTAGCTCTGTGACCTGGGGCAAGTCACTTATCCCTGTTTGCCTCAGTTCCTCATCTAACTGTAAAATGAGCTGGAGAAGAAAATGGCAAACCACTTCAGTATCTTTGCCAGGAAAACCCCAGATGGGGTCAGGAAGAGTCAGAATGATTGAAACAATTCAACAACAAAAATATAGTAGTCTCATATGTATGCTAATTTTAAAATGTGTATGATAACCATTCATTAATTTGCTGTAGCATTTTGTATTTTGTCTACAATTTTAAAATTTTTTCTTTTTTTCCCTTTTCAAAGAATATGGATTGTGTTCAATTCCATTAGAAAATAAGCTATATCTTGTTGGTGGACAAACCACAATTGCAGAATGCTATGACCCTGAACAAAATGAATGGACAGAGATAGCGCCTATGATGGAAAGGAGAATGGAGTGTGGTGCCGTCATCATGAATGGATGTATCTATGTAACTGGTGGATATTCCTACTCAAAAGGAACATATCTTCAAAGCATTGAAAAATATGATCCTGAACTTAATAAATGGGAAATAGTGGGTAATCTTCCTAGTGCCATGCGTTCACATGGATGTGTTTCTGTGTATAATGTATGATGCAATGTATGAAAATCACTAAGTAGAACCAAAAACAAAAACAAACAAACAAACAAACAGTTCACACTTAGCAGTGTACCAATAGATAATCTTATTTGGTATCAAAATATTGTTTCGACACTGGAGTTTATCTACAATGCACCCTATACTTTTCAAAAGTAACATTATCTTTAATATTTACTTGGACAGCTACGTAGTAAATGGTAGGAGGTTAAAGACATTTGTAGTAATGCATTCCATCTCCTTATCACAGTATTGACATTGGTAAGATATCAGAACCATACTGTGAAATTGATGTTCAGTTCTTGCCCTTAGGGTCATGGGCAGTGCACATTAAAGTACAATCTAACAGGTGATTGAAGTGGATAGAGGAAATCTTTTCTACCTCTATACAATTTTTCAATATTTTTTGAAACTTTTTTCTGCTCAAAGTACTGTGGAATGTAACATGAAACTAGACACAATCATCTTGTCTAGTTTTCTTTTTCTGATGCAGTTTGTATAATCTTTTCAAGTGACTTGATAGTTATTTTATATTTACTGAGTATTAACAATGTTTTATAAAACAGTTATTGCCTAAGAGTTTACAACCTAATTCTGAAAGGATGGCAAAACTGAAAAATGAGAGTAGAATAAAATTGCTTAGTAGACTTTGTATTTAGTATCAAAAGTTTTTTTTTTTTTTAACAAATGTGAACCTTTATGCAAACAAGGTTAAGGTTTCTATAGTTTATGCATGTGAAAAAAGATACTCAGTATCATCCCTGATTAGAAATATTTACCTTTATATGGAATGTATTTTAGAGCTGGAAGGAACCTTAATGTTCTTTACCCAACCAATTAATTTTCTTTCAAACAGATAATAAGAAAGGCTGCATTAGGTTATATGTTTAAATTTTAAACACTAAAGTAATAAAGTCTTAAAATGCTTGAATTCTTTTGTTATGGAAATAAATGACCATATTCACAGTTAAAAAAAAACACCCGTGAAATAAGAGGAATTATTTTAAGCTTGGTCTGAATTTAATAAAAAGTATTAGTTACAGAATAGAATGTAATATTAGAACTGGAAAGGATCTTAGAGATCATCTAGTCCAACAAAGCAGAAAATGTAAAAGAAATACAGAAACATTGAGAGACTCTAGACTTACCAAGTTGACCTTGTCTAGGAATAAATTTTTTAAAATAGATGTGAATTTGTAATTGCCTTCTGCATGCTATTACAATTTAAATTCTGATCTAGAGTTCTTCAGAACCTTAAGTCATCCTGCCTTCTCTGTATGCCTTTCTTGATTATCCTAACTCTCAGTGATCATTTCTTTACATTCCTGCAGTGTTTATTGTTGGTACTTGAGGTTAACAATCCTTCTAGAGTATTAAGGTTATTTTTGTTTAATGTTAAAATATTTCAGACTCCCACATTATTGTAGTTTGATTAGTATCCATTGATTGAGAAAGTATATAATCACAAAAGCTTTCTATAAATTCACTAATATTTGAAAATTTATTTTTATTTTATTAATCACAACAGCATTTACATACATTTAAAATAGTATTGTGTACATATATGAGACATTTATTTATTTAGGCATATTTGCTTTTTTATGGAGTAATTCCCATACAGTCCACAACTTTGGATCCACTAGTCCACACCACTCATCTAGTACTAGTTTGTAGTAATAAATCCGGTGCTAGTTTGTACTGTTATTGAGAGGACGAGACTGGATGATCGCCTCAGGCCCCTTCCAGGTCCAAATCAGTGATTCTGTAGTCTTTTAATGTATTCATCCTGTCTCCCTGACAGATTATTAGCATGTTGACGGCAGTGACGTTGTCTTATACCTCTATTTTCCCAGTGCCTATCAACTGTTCCCAGCAATAGTAGGTGTTAAATAAATTAATGTTTGTCAATAATATCAATTGTACATTTTTAAAAAAATGGTTGAAGTGCTTGAAGATGCTTGAAGTTTGTGCTACTAAGTACTTTTTTAAACAGTTTGTCTTTTCTTTAAAAATCTTATTTATGTTTTTAATTTGCACTCTGAAGAAAGGATTGAATAAAGGTAAATTTCAGCTGTGTTTGATTTATCACTAATTCCAAATTAGTAATTTGAATTAGGTTTTACTAAAATAGGTGAGACATCTTTCTCATAATAATCATTCTATTTTAAAAAAATAGTAAAATGGTGAAACTAATTTAATATTCTTAAATTACTATTATCTTTTAAGCATCTGTAATCCTTGTAAGCTCTGAGGATCCTTATATTAACTCTCATTCCATAAGTTTGTCTTAGAGCTTGGTTAACTACTATCTTCCTTCAAGGTTGAGGGATACCACCTGTGGGATGAGGAGAGGTGATTGACTAATGCTGTTGTCTTGAGCCCCCACTGGTGAGTTTCCCCTAAGATTAACACTTGAAAAATCACCTAAAGTAAATTTTAGAAAGGGGCATTTACTAAGGTGATATGACAATAGTTGGCACAAAAAACCCCCAAATTCTGTGAAATAGTTTTCTTCAAGTACACGCAGGGTCCAGGGAAAAGTGAGCTCAAGCTTAGAGTGCACATATGGCAAAAGGGTAACAACAGTTCCTGATTAGTAGAAGCCCTTTTTTTCCTATTAGTGAGGTATCCAAGATGTTCCCCCCTTAGGCATGGCATGGTTTGTTTTGGGGGTTCTTACAGAGAACAAGTCCAGTCTGTTCTTGGCTCCCAATGTAAATACTACTGATAGTCTGGGAATAATATTTAGTACGGCAGTGGGAAAGTGTGAAGTCCAACCATTCTCCAGACCCTTAAAAGCTGGAAAGTTCTCCTTAAGGCCTATGATTTATTGAGACCTTTTCTTACCTAGTTAAGATATCAGGCTAACCCTTACACATCAAAATTTTTAAATTTGTCCTTTAGTTTTTAAAATGAAAGTAAAATCAAACCAGACATTGAGAATAGCATGGTGCTATCAAAACTCCTTTCCAATTTCTATGGCACTTAAAGACATAACTAGTATTTAGCATCTCCAAAACACCTAAGTTCTTAAGTATAAATTTTTTTTCTGTCTGCTGTTAGGTTCATGACTAGTTCCTCAGGTTTTAAGTCTGCTAATCTCTTATTCCTCTCAAATATAACATCCCAAACTACCCCTTTTCTAGGCACAAGCTCATTTTCTTGCTAATCCTCTTATCTTGATCAATCTTTTTTTAATATTTTTTATTAATTTATTTTGATTTATCAATAATCACTTCCATATGCTTCTGAGTTGAAAATTTTTCTCCCCCTTCCTCCCCATCACCCTCCCCAAGACAGCGCACAATCTGATATAGGCTATACATTCACATTTCTATTAAATGTATTTTCACATCAGTGATGTAAGTAAAAATTAAAACCTATAGGAGGAATCATCAGAAACAGGAAACAAAACTCAACAGAAGAGAAAAAAAATATAGCAATTCAACTTCCATAGTTCTTTCTTTGGATGTGGACAGCATTTTCCATCATGAGGCCTCTGGAGAGGTCTTAGATCCTTGTATTGCTGGGAAGGGTTAAGTTTATCAATATTAGTCATTGCACAATGTGACTGTTATTGTGTACAACATTCTCTTAGTTCTGCTCACTTCACTCAGCATCAGACCATACAAGTCTTTCCAGGTTTTTCTGAAATCAGCCTGTTCATCATTTCTTATAGCACAATAGTTATCCTGATCAATCTTAATCCTTACCACTAACATCATTCCTTATCCTCTTCTGGTATCCTCTATAGAGCCTCTAGCTCTGCCCCATCTCCCATTATAAACAAATTTTCATTGAAACTTTATTGCTTCTTAAAAAAACTATGTCAACTCAGAAACTGAAACTTGGCTTTTCCTGAAGACACATCTCTCATACTTACGGACTTGGGGAACCAGAAGGCTTGTTCCTTACTCCCTGATGCTATTCAGACCCTTACTCTTCACTCAATCATATATTAACTTCTAATTCCTGTTTGTGTTAACTGCAAACATGTAAGGCCCATGTACTCACCCACTCTCCCCTTCAGTAATTTTTAGCACTGTTCTTGCAGTGTTCTCTCTAACTTTGCTGAATTCCATTATACATGTATGCTAACTAACTTTAACTGGTCCCTCACTGCTGTTTGGAGACAGTTGGCTGGGGGACACCCTTCCCACAAGTCAGCTCTATACTTAGAGGATTGGCCTGGGGGAGCCAGACCCCAAAGAGAAGGGAGTTACCAGGTTTTTCTTGGATTCCCTGGGAATTTCCCTCACCCCAAATTTTTGGGGAAGAGCTCTTAAATCAAACTTAGCAATGGCTCTTAACTAGTGTCTCCCCAAAAGTAGGTTAATAAGGTCCCTTACAGATAAGACTCCTTTTTCAAAGGAGCTATCTGATAGCTATTTATTTTTTTCCACTACAAAAAGAAATGTTTAAAACACAAAAGAGTCTTGAATGTGTGTTAACAAATGTTTGAAAACTGAGACAAAGCTCCATTACCTATCAGGTAAAGGCATATTTTGGTACCAATGAATAGGTATTTCATTTTCTCCTCTGACCTACACTGTCTGTGGAACTCACTTTCTTGGCAAGCCAGGGCATGGCTTGAGTTTTCTTATTCCTTTCATCTCCAATATTCTTCTGGCAGTTTCTCCTGGTAGTGCTCCTTTTCCATGAAGTTGCAGGAAACACCTTCCTTTGGGCAATTAGCACTCTAGGTAAGCACATGTTCTTGTTGCCATGTGCTCATAGCTGCAATGGCTGGGGGTGGAAAATTCCTTTTTCCCTTTTTGAAAATTCAAGGGAGAGTTAGCAGAATCTCAGTCAATATGTTCAAAAGAGGGGAGGGAATAAATGAGGTCTTTCTCCTTTCTTTTTTTTATCTTACTGAGTGGACAGCTCTTCAAGACTCAGTTGCCAATCATTTTAGTTACAGTTCCCCCCTCTCCCCCAGCATGAGGACCAGTGAGGGATTGCTTAGTTGACTCAAAGTTCAAGTAATTACGGGTTGTGTCAAAGAATGTATCCACACCCATAGAATCTATTAGAACATGCCCAGTTTCATGGGAAGTGAGCCCCAGACCAACAAATCAGGAGAGCCTTTTGATTATCTTCATTACGGTGGGAATGCTTCTATTCATCTCCGACTGATTATCACATTGTCCATAAGAGAGGTTCTAAATGTTCTTCTTAAGACCCTAACTCTACCAACTCCTTTAGTCTTAGCTGAGAAAATTGAGGCCATTTACTGCTTTTGGAGCTAGAAGGCACAAAGGTGGAGTCAGGAAGATTGATCTGGCCTCAGAAATTAGCTGTATGACTTGGGCAAGTCACTTAATCCTGTTTGCCTCAGTTTCTTTATCTTAAAATGAGCTGAAGAAAGAAATGTCAAACTACTCCAAGAAAACTTTGTCAAAAAAATTCCAAATAGGGTCACAAAGAGTTGGACGTGACTGGAACAACTGAACAACAAACTGTTTTCGGAGTATTCATTTCTACAAAGAGAAGGAACAAAGTAAGCAATCTTAACTATTACATTAAGAAATACAAGGTAATAAAATTCACCAAAGATACAAAAGGAAACATATTCACTTT